CTTTTGAGTATGTTCAGTAAGGATGATTTGGACATATGGTTGTTCTCTATCCATCCATGCCCCTGTTTGAATTTATGGAGTGCCCTAGCATGACTCAATCTTGCTCTACTTTTGCTATAAGATGTTCCTGTCAGATTGTTTACGTGTTAATCAATTTTGCCAAGGTCATTGTAGTTAATCCATGCATGCTATGAGATTGTTCTTGCCATGGTTAGCTTTATAAACATGTCTTCTTACTATTGCTATGCTTATATTGTCATGCAATGCCTTGTGGTGAGTGAATCGAGCTCGCAAAGAGGCCTTCATAATTATGTTTATGCCATGACCAGTTTTCTGCTAAGTCTGAATCTGTTAACGAAACTTGCTATGTCTACATGGGTGCCATCATATCTTCTGTGCCCTTTTGGCTTATGGTCAGTAAGGGACTTTTGTTCTATGCTTTGAGTAGATTCATGGCATGCCTTGTTTTGCTATGATATGTTCCTGTAGCATGCTGTTAGCTTGCTCTAAACATTGCTTCCTGATGTTAATTCCTGCCATGTTGTTATTTTCACTAAGTCTGTGATGTTGATATCTTTTGCACTTTTGCCATGCTTGTTTGAACCTTCTATTGTGTGATTTAGCCATATCTCAGTGTTCATCTTTTGTCAAGCATCTTGATTAGATCACTGCCATGTGCTTTGTTGCTATGTTGGGTTGCAGTAGCTTAGTTTCTTGTTGCATTCTAGATGGCATCGTGCTGTTAATCGCAGAATTGTGCCATTATTGTTTTGCTTGCCATTTGCAAACCATGCATCCGATTCCGGTGATCTTTATATCGATTTCGACCGAAATCAACTCATCTTTTTAGCGGCACACTTGGTTTGCCAATTTGAGGCATGGTTCAATCTTTTCCTTCTGGAGCTCGCATAAGCATTGCATATCACATCCTGCATGTCATGCCATGTTTTGCATCATATTGCTTGCGCATTGCACCGTGGTTGATGGTTGTTCCCTTTGCTTGTGTTCTTGCTTTGGGTAGAGCCGGGAGATGATTACGTGATCGAGGAACCCGTTGAGTATGCTTACGAGGATCAAGCTTTCGCCAACTCGAAGAACTTTGCAAGCAAGATGACCATACCCTCGAAATCACTTCTATCTTTGCTTGATAGTTGTTCGCTCTATTGCTATGTCGCGGTACCTACCACTTGTTATATCATGCCTCCCATATTGCCATGTAGCCTCTAACCCACCTTTCCCAGCAAACCGTTGTTTGGCTATGTTACCACTTTGCTCAGCCCCCCTTATAGCGTTGCTAGTTGCAGGTGAAGATGGTGTTTGTTCCTTGTTGGAACATGATTATTGTTGGGATATCATTATTATATCTTGTTTACTTTAATGCACCTATGTACTTGGTAAAGGGTGGAAGGCTCGACCTTATGCCTGGTGTTTTGTTCCACTCTTGCCGCCCTAGTTTCCGTCATACCAGTGTTATGTTCCTTGATTTTGCATTCTTTACGCGGTTGGGTTATAATGGGAACCCCTTGACAGTTCGCCTTGAATAAAACTCCTCCAGCAAGGCCCAACCTTGGTTTTACCATTTGCCACCTAAGCCTTTTTCCCTTG